TCTTTCTCACTCCCAAAGACTGCTCCAAGGACAAAGCCTTGAGATCATGATGTGGTGTTGAGAACACCTGCACAGTGTATGTGACTGAACCCAAGTAAAGCCTCTTTATAAACTTCTAAGATTTGGCAAGTGGTGCAGGGATCCATTCGTCTTGCAGCTACCCAAGACAAGCCTCATATGTAAGTTCCCTTTGCTTATTAAAACAGCCACCTACGAATCTGGACTGGCCTCTCTCTTTGCTCTCTCCCCACTCTCTGCATACAGGTGCTGGTTTTAGACTACACCTGGGAAAACTCGAGAGAATTGTGAACTTGACTACTCATCATTTTCGATATTGAGTGAACAATTGCATACCACACAAATACATTTGAAAGGAAGTTTTATCATCTAATGCCAACTCTTCAGAAAACTCACCACAAATTGACATGTGCATTTTGGTATTTGCTATTCGATACACACGAAAAGTAGATAGCATAACCTCCTTGCCTTTTCATTTTGTTGTTTCCTTTGCCGTGCGGAAACTTTTTAGTTTGATGTAGTCCCACTTGTTTGTTTCCTGTGCTTTGGTATTAATTAAAAATTATTTCCAATACCAATGTCAGGGAGCTTTCCCTTTATGTTTTCTTCTAGCTTTACTGTTTCAGGTCTTTATGTTTAGGTCTTTAATTCGTCTTTAGTTGATTTCGTGTATGGTGTAAGATATGGGTCCAATTTAATTCTTTTCCATGTGGATATCCAGTTTTTCCAACACCATTTATTAAAGGGACTACCCTTTCCTCTATTGTATATTCCTGATTCCTTTGTCAAAAATTAGTTGACTTTGTATGTGTGGGTTTATTTCTGGGCTCTCTCTTCTTTTCCACTGGTCTATGTGTCTGTTTTGATGCCAGTACTGTATTGGTTTCATTAGTATAACTTTGTAGTATAGTTTGAAGACAGGAAGTTTGATGCCTCCAGCTTTGTTCTCCTTGCTCCAGATTGAGCTATTCAGTGTCTCTTGTAGTTCCATATAAATTTTAGATTTTTTTCCTATTTCTGTGAAAAGTGTCATTGTAATTTTGATAGGGATTGCATTCAATCTGTAGATTACCTACCTTGGGTAGAATGGCCATTTTAACATTATTAATTCTTCCAATCAATGAACATGGGATATCTTCCCATTTAGTTGTCTTTGATTGCTTTCATCAATGTTTTATAGCTTTCAGTGTTCAGATCTCTCACTTCCTTGGTTACATTTATTCTTAAGTATTTTATTCTTTTTGTTGCTATTGTCAAGCAGATTGTTTTATTAATGTCTTTTCCAGATCATTTGTTAGTGTGTAGAAATGCAAAACTGATTTTTGTATGTTGATTTTGTATTCTTAAACTTTACTGAATTCACTTACTAGTTTTACAGTTTGTTTTGGTACAGCCTTTCAAGTTTTTTTTTTTTTTAAGATTTTATTTATTTATTTGACAGCGAGAGACACAGCGAGAGAGGGAACACAAGCAGGGGGAGTGGGAGAGGGAGAAGCAGGTTTCCCGCGAAGCGGAGAGCCCGATGTGGGGCTCGATCCCAGGACCCTGAGATCATGACCTGAGCCGAAGGCAGACGCTTAATGACTGAGCCACCCAGGTGCCCCTTTTTCTTTCTTTTTTTTTTTTTTTTAAAGATTTTATTTGACAGAGATAGCGAGAGCAGGAACACAAGCAGGGGGAGTGGGAGAGGGAGAAGCAGGCCTCCCGTGGAGGAGGGAGCTGATGCAGGGCTCGATCCCAGGGCCCTGGGACCATGACCCGAGCCGAAGGCAGACATTTAATGACTGAGCCACTGAGGCACCCCAGCCTTTCAAGTTTTCTACATATAAGATCAGTTCATCTGCAGACAGAGACAGTATTTCTTCCTTTCCATTTTGGATACCTTTCAATTCTTTTTCTCACCTAATTGCTCTGGCTAGGACTTCCAGTACGATGCTGAATAAAAGTGGAGAGAATGGGCACCCTTGTTTATAATCTTAAAGGAAAAGATTTTGGCTTTTCAACGTTGAGTATGATGTTAGTTATGTGCTTTTCGTATATGCCTTTTATTATGTTAAGGTATACTCTACTCAATTTGTTACAAACTTTTTATCATAAAAGGATGTTGAAGTTTGTAAAATGCTTTCTGCATTTATTGAGATGATCATATGATTTTTATCCTTTGTTAATGTGGAGTATTACATGTTGCATAAATTGAGTCATCCTTGTATCCCAGGGATAAATCCAATTTAATCATAGCGTAAAACTTTTCAGGTGCTGCTGAATGTGGTTTGCTAGCATTTCTTTGAGGATTTTTGCATTTATTTTTATCAGTCTCCAAATATTTAGAGAAAGTTCTGCCTCAATTGTTGAAATGCTATATTGTACACCCAAAACTAGTAAAACACTGTATGTTAACTACACTGGAATTAAAATTTTCAAATGAGAAAAAAGAGAAAGTTCTATCAGGAAGTGGAAGACAGAAGTGGGTGTGTTACCAGCAGTGTTGGATTGGGAGGGGTTTATTCTTGCCAGCTTCAACCGTACTCAAGGGGCAAAAACTAAGGCCTGACCTCAATTGTGGAGTTAACTTTAGAAAATATGATTTGAGGGGCACCTGGGTGGCTCAGTCATTGAGCATCTGCCTTCAGCTTGGATCATGATCCCGAAGTCCTGGGATTGGGTCCGCATTGGGCTCCCTGCTCCGCGGGAAGCCTACTTCTCCCTCTTCCACGCCCCCTGCTTGTGTTCCCTCTCTCGCTGTGTCTCTCTCTGTCAAATAAATAAATAAAATCTTAAAAAAAAAAAAGAAAGAAAGAAAATATGATTTGACTTCTGGGCATGAGTCCAAGGCATTTGCTGAAACCTCAGCATCAGCTTTGCCTCAACCCGTCTCACGCGATGGCATTTGAGACAAAGCTCTCATGACCCTTACAAGGCTCAGGAGGGCAGGAGTAATTATAACCAATCTTTTTTTCTATACGTACTTTCTGAATAATGGCACATATCCTATGGATGAGTTAGTAGTTAATGTTTAAAAGTAATAGCTCTCCTTTGTTCTAAGCCTTCCCTGCTTTGAAGCTCTTTGATGAATTTGTCTGATAAGATTTTCAGTAAAAACCATGTTTAAGCCTGTGCAGCTGCTTTTCTCCTCTGGAGGCAGTCCTGCATGTCTGCTCAGTATTAAGTCTGAGTGTTTTATTTTCAGTGCGTGGCGACACTCAATCCCATCCTCAGCATGTGGCTGAACAGATACCCCCTAGTGGGCCATGACCTCATAGGAAGTATTTTAGGTACCTGAAAAGTAAAAGCATTATAAAGTTTACTGTATAAATTTAAAATAGTTTGATTAAAAGTTATGAAGCATGCATATAAATTTTATTACAAACTGGAAAGGACAACAGCAGAGTCATATAAGTAATGAGGATTTCAACTCAAAATAACTATAAAATACAAAATATGTGAAAAATAGAGTAGGTAGGACGAATAACATAATGGATACAACCAGCTATGAATTAAAATGCTGTAAGTTCAGATCAGAGGATGCTTAAAGAATCTAAAAACATTTAAAAAAATAAGGGACATGAACACAGAATCTATGAATAAGGAAAATTTAGTGAGACAAATACTTATAAAAGAATAACCCATAACTACTGTACTTTCAGGGATCATTTCTATAGTTTGTCACATTAAAATAAAGTATCACAGAATAAAGAAAGTCTTGCAAGCTGACAATAAGAAAAAAATAGATCACTTTAGAACAACAATGGGACTGAGCCATGAATTTTGATCAAAACCAGTGGATGCAAGTCTAGAAAATTAGCTCTTAAAAATGAAGTGATAAACTTTAATTCAAGATCTTTTTTCTATGCAATGTATTCATAATAAAAATGTCGAAAATGAAACTATTATGCTAAATGAAATGTCACAAAAGGACAAATGTATGATTTCTCCTATACGAGGTTCCTAGAGTAGTCAAATTCATAGACAATAGAGATACAAAGTAGAATGATGGTTTCTGGGGGTTGGGGGGGAGTGAAGTTGGGAAGAACGTGTTTAATGATACAAAAATACATTCAGTTGGGGAAGATGAAAAAGTTCTGAAGATGGATGGTGATGTACTTAATAATACATGTGATGGTTGATTTTGTGGGTCTACTAGGCTAGACCATGGCATCCAGATATTTGGTCAGACATTATTCTGGGTGTTTCTTTCAAGTGCTTTTTGAATTAACATTTAAATCAGTAGACTTTGAGTAAAGCAGATTACCCTCTGTAATGAGGGTAGGCTTCATCCACTCAAAAGCATTAATAGAAAAGCAGTAACCTGCATAAACTAGAGGGAATTTTGTCTGCTGACTGCTTTGGACTTGCCCTGAAATTCTTACCTGAGTCTCCAGTCTGCCAGGTTACCCTGAAGATTTTGGACTTGCTAAGCCAACATAATCGTGTCACCCAATACTTTAAAATAAATCTCTCTAGGGGCGCCTGGGTGGCTCATCGTTAAGCGTCTGCCTCCGGCTCAGGTCATGATCCCAGGGTCCTGGGATTGAGCCCCGCATTGGGCTCCATGGGAGGCGTGTTCTCCCTCTCCCACTCCCCCTGCTTGTGTTCCCTCTCGCTGTGTCTTTCTCTGTCAAAAAATGAATGGAATCTTAAAAAAAAACCTCTCTATATACATACATACATATATGGACAGACATACACTAGTTTGGTTCTGTTTTTCTGGATAACTCTAATATGCAACAGAACCAAATACTTAGAAGTGATTAAAATAGCAAATTTTGTATTATTTATATCACTGTAAAAATGATTAACTATTTAAAACATTTTTTTTATTTTAAAGATTTTATTTATTTGAGAGAAAGAAGGAGAGAGAGAGAGAGCACATGAGAGGGGGGAGGGTCAGAGGAAGAAGCAGACTCCCCGCCGAGCAGGGAGCCCGACGCGGGACTCGATCCCGGGACTCCAGGATCATGACCTGAGCCGAAGGCAGCCGCCGAACCAACTGAGCCACCCAGGCGCCCCTAAAACATTTCTAAGAAATTTTATGTCGCAAAAACATACCCTGAAGGCACTAAAAAAAAAAGTAATCAAGTAAAAAGAGAAAATTCTAGAACAATGCCTTGCTGGACATTTGTGTAGAAGGCAGATGGTTCATCAAGTTTTTTGACAATCACTTCATATGCAGCTGAACTTAAATTTGAGTGACTTAGCTTAAACTTCACTTTCTTACTTTACTCTTTGCTCAGTCACTGTCTACACTTAAAAGTCTTTTTGTCGTTTATACATAATACAGCTCTAATACATAATGCAGTCTTGCTTAGCACATAAAAAATACTCAATATCACTAGTTATTACAGAAATGCAGATTAAAATAAGACTATGACACACTTATTTTAACTTAAAAAAGACAGAGTATAAATATACCTATTATTGACAAAGATGTGTTCCAAAGTGGAACTCTTATATGCAGCTGGTAGGAGTATAAAGTGGCACATTCACATTGGAAATCAATTTGGTCAATTCTTAAAAAGTTAAACATTCATCTATGAGCAACACTCTATTCTCAGGTATTTACTTATAACAGTGGTTGTTCCTATAATAGGTCAACACTAGAAACAACCTACGTGTCCATTAATAGATAAACACATTGTGTTTTATACACCCAATGGAATACCACTCAGCAATAAAAAGGAATGAACACAATAGGGATAAATCTCAAAATAGCTATGCAAGGATATACTTTAGGATTCCATTTATGTAAAAACAGAATAAAAAGCAGCCATGCAAAAGTAGACTGTAGGATTCCAAATATATATAAATACTAAAAACATGCAAATTAGTGTAAAATGACATAAATCAACAGACTCTCCCACATTCACTGCACTCATAAGGCATTTCTCTATTGTTGCAAATTTGACAGTGTTTAACGAGGCCAGAGTTTTAAGTAAAGATGTCCCCATACTTGCTGTTCTCATAAGGACTCTCCCATCAGTGTGAACTCTCTGTTGTGTAATGAGACTGGAGGTGTATCACAAAAACTTCCCACATTTGCTGCAGTAATAAGCCTGTTCTCTACTGTGATTTGTCCGACGTCTAATGAGCGTGGAGTTGCAACTAAAGGATTTCCTACATTGCTGCATTCATCAGGCCTTTCTCCAGCGTGAGTTCTCTGGTGTCTAATGAGTGTGAAGCGGTACCTAAAGAATTTCCCACATTTATCACACTCATAAGGCCTTTCTCCAGTGTGAACTCTCTGATGAATAATGAGTGAGGAGCTGTCCATAAAGAATTTCCCACATTCTCTGCACTCATAAGCCCTTACTCCAGTGTGGATTTTCTGGTGCTCAGCAAGTTTATGTTTGCGACTGAAAGCTTTTCCACATTCACTGCACTTATAAGGCCTCTCTCCAGTGTGGATTTTCTGGTGTTCCACAACTTTGTCTTTGCGGCTGAAGGCTTTCCCACATTCACTGCACTCATAAGGCTTTTCACCACTGTGGATTTTCTGATGCTCAACAAGTTTATGTTTGCGGGTGAAAGCTTTTCCACATTCACTGCACTCATACGGCCTTTCGCCAGTGTGAACTCTCTGATGTCTAATGAGTGTAGAGCGATTCCTAAAAAAACTTCCACATTCACTACAGCCATAAGGTCTTTCTCCTGTGTGGATTTTCTGGTGCCCAACAAGTTGGGAGAGTCGAAGGAAACCCTTCCCACATTGGTTGCACTCAAAAGGCCTCAGCCTGGTGTGAATACCCTGGTGGTCACTGAGGCCAGGTATCTGTGTAAAGAATCCTCCACGTTCTGGGTTCTCATAAAGCTGATCTTCATCATGGCCCTTCTGGTGCTGATGGAGGTGGGCCTTTCTAAGGCAGGCCTTCCCACATTCCCTGTACTCATAAAGCTTTTCTCCAGTGTGGATTTTCTCATGGTCGACAAGTATATGTTTATGATTACAGGTTTTCCCACACTGGGTGCACTTATAATAATTCTGTTCATTCTGAAAGGCCTCTCCACCTGCCGTGTCCCAGTGTGGCTTTCCTACAACATGAGGAACCTGTGGTTGGAGAAGGCCTAAGCTGGCTGGGAAGTTCTTCCTACCTTCCCTGCATGTAAAGGTCGTCTCTGTCACGTGACCTCTGCAGCTCTTCACAAATGAAGGCCTCCCCTCATCACTTCTGGAAAGTTTCTCTCTAATTTGATGCTTTTGGTGCTGGAAATGCTTTCCCCCACAAGTGTGCAAGCCTCGCTCAGGGTGTGTTCCATCATGCTCAGCCAAATGCAAAAGGTCTTTCAAGAGCAAGCTACACGTCTCACAGAGCTGGGACTTCTGGATGGATGGGCCTGGCTTTGGAGTCCTGACCTGTGACCCTCCTACAGAAACCTCTTGCTCTGAAGGGGCCTCCTCATCCTGGGCTCCATGCCAGCAACCTGTAAGCAGAGAAATGCCAGTAAAGTGCCTGCTGACTTCGTTGGGAGGAGGCGGCCCCATCGGGAATGTGTGCCAGACACACTCACGGAGGAGGCCACGAGACTGCTGACGGGCGAGGGGGACTCGAGACAGTGAGAGGAAGGCCTGCTGTGCAGAGCTCAGCCTGGCAAGCTCCCGTGACGGGAGAGCCCTGACTCTGGGGAAGGACCCGAGGAATGGGGAAGTGCAGGGAGGAGAGACAGTCTCCCAACTCCTTCCTCTGCAAATGACTTTTTCTTTTTTAAGATTTTATTTATTTATTTGACATAGACACAGCGAGAGAGGGAAGACAAGCAGGGGGAGTGGGAGAGGGAGAAGCAGGTCTCTTGCTGAGCAGGGAGCCCGATGTGGGGCCGATCCCAGGACCTCCAGACCATGACCTGAGCCAAAGGCAGACACTCAACGACTGAGCCACCCAGGCGCCCCATGCAAATGACTTTCAACAAGGCAAGAGCTGCTGGTGACCAGTGAGCACTGATGCAAGACTGGGTCCAGATGCAGAAATGTGTGATTGCAACACAGTAGCTGGTGTTCAGAGATTATTTAAAAATACGCCATCACAGGGGCGCCTGGGTGGCTCAGTCATTAGGCATCTGCCTTTGGCTCAGGTCATGATCCCAGGGTTCTGGGATCGAGCCCCGCGTTGGGCTCCCTGCTCGGCGGGAAGCCTGCTTCTCCCTCTCCTGCTCCCCCTGCTTGTGTTCTTGCTCTTGCTGTCTCTCTGTCAAATAAATAAATAAAATATTTTAAAAAATATGCCATTACAATACCTTAGGATAGGTCATATGTCAAGTGTACTGCAAAGGGAGCAAAAAGGAAAGGATGACAGAGAGAAGCCACGAGGGTGGGGGAGCTGGGGAATGCAAGATTGGAAATGATGATGGGAGGGCGCCTAGGTGGCTCAGTTGGTTAAGCGACTGCCTTCGGCTCAGGTCATGATCCTGGAGTCCTGGGATCGAGTCCCGCATTGGGCTCCCTGCTCGGCAGGGAGGCTGCTTCTCCCTCTGACCCTCCCCCCTCTCATGTTCTCTCTCTATCTCATTCTCTCTCTCAAATAAATAAATAAATAAATAAATAAATAAATCTTTAAAAAAAAAAAAAAGGAAATGATGATGGGAAAGAAGAGGTAGAAATGAAGTATGACCACTGTCCCTGGCATCATACAATGGTGAACCCAGCTCTGACAACAGACCCATTTCCAGCTCCCGAGCCCCAGGGCCATCTCCTATTGCCACTGATGGAGTAATGTCCACACTGTCAGGCACCCAGGCCCCTCCCACTTCTTCAAGATGAGCAGTTACATGGGACCTGAAATGGGCCAACCTAGGTGAAACACAGGAAAAGGAAGTGGAAAGCATGCCCCCAGAGTGATCCCTCTCACAACATCCCACATTCTAAAACCAAAAGAACTTCAAAGGAGGGTCTTGCAGAACCAGCGGTCTCTACAAATACAGACTACCTTGGTGGCTGAAATTTCTGGCACAGGCATGCCCCAAGAAATGTCAGCAAGGAGGAAGAAGGCATGGAGCACAGGGGCTGAAGAGAATAACCTGACCAATGGCAAGCAAGACCATTGGGATTTCTCAGACAAACTTGGAGCAGAAGTGCACTGGGCCCAGACCTGGCTCCCATAAGTGTGTGCTAGGAAACCAGAAGGGAAGTAGTGACCGTGATGTGGGTGTGGGAATGACAGCACTACCCCCGGGAAAGGGGAAAACCAGCGCCCAGCCCCAGACGCTGCAGTAGGTGGGAGGGCCTTACCTAGTGATGACAAAAGTGCAAAGTTCTCGAGCATCACGCTGTGGTACAGGCTTCTCTGAGCCTCATCAAGGAGCCCCCATTCCTCCTGGGAGAAATGTATGGCCACGTCTGTAAAAACCAAAAGCCCCTGCCAAAATGGGGACAGTTCAGTCAATGTGCAGCTTCTCTCTCCAGGATCTTCAGTGCGGCCCCCCAGCCCCACTTCCATCTGCTCCTTGCCCTCCACCCCAACTTCCCCATGTGGAAGAGATACAAGGTCTTGTGGCACTGGTGCCTCTCTCTCGTCACTGCCACTGATCACTGTGTCCAGGACTCGGGAAAACAAGTAGGGGAGGGTGCAGAAAAGCCCCACCTAGGCTCTGGGGCTGCAATGGGGCTCTCTCTCTTTTATCAGTAAATTATGCTGAGGTCCCCCAGATCTTGCCTCCCAGACAACACAACTTGAACTTATCTCTCCCATAAGCACCCCATCCCAGGACTTGGGGTCAAACATTCACACTCCTCCTCGCCTGCACATCGTTCTTGATCTGAACCTCTACAGATCTGGTCCTTCCACTTCTGCAACTCAGTTACTGAGACCCACCAGCCCGCTCTATAGGTAATTCCATGGCTTCCCAGCACACCACTGTGCACGTGGAACCCGGGTAGTATTTTGCAAATGGAATCAACAGCCTATTTGGCCCCATCCTGCCCCAGAAACCCAAGTTTCCTAGCACCACAGACCACCAGGGTTCCTTTGTGGTTCTCCCCACCTGGCCCTGCCACCTGTGTCACACTCACCCTCCCAAACCTAACGTCAGTACCTCACGGACCCTTGGTCCTCTGCTACATCTCCGCTACACACGGTGTCCTACAAGCAGTCACAAACAGTCTGTGTTTACCTCACCCACATTCAAAGCCCAGCTACACTGAACTCCCCACCCCAGGCCTAGCAATGTTCCAGGCTGATCCATTTTAACCTCAACTGATCTACCAGCCTGAAGGAACAATACGGGTCTGACCAAGAGTCACCACAAAACACTGATGAGTCCAAAGAAAGATAATGTGCCCTGCTCTGAGCTCACTGACATCTGACTTCCTTCATGGAGATGCTGCAACACCTATCTCATATCCTTGACCCCTTGGAAGCCTTTCGGACTCCTCACCTTTATTCCTCATAAGCACAACCCCCCACCCCCCAAGAGCGACTCTGCTTTCTCATCTGCCTTTGTGACATCCACTACCACCATCCAGGCTCCCAAAAAAGATTCAAATCTCAGCCTCCTTCCCCTTCCCACGTCCACAACCTAATGATGCCCCCTCTGAAAACTGAGGCACAGCGACACTTCAGTCCACATACTGGCCACTCTGTTGTGGCTGTCTGCAACCTGAATGCCTCCCCTAAACTCCAGATCTGTGTGTACACCTGCCGACTGGGTACCTCTACTTGGGAGTCTCTGGAACATCTGCACATCAGTAACAGAATCTGACTTCCTATTCCCTCTGAAAAGCCCTCGGACTACTGACTTCCCCATCTCAACCGATAGAACATCCAAACTTCCAGAGAAAGCCAAAAGCCTCGGGGCTGTCCCTGACCCCTGTTCCCTTCACACCTCCTGGCGCCCTCACTCACCACATCACTAAACGTGGGCAACTCTGTGCAGGACGCATCCAGAAAGCACCAGTCCTCTACCTCCACAGCCACCACCCCTTGTCCAGCCATCAGCAGGACTCACCTGCACTGTCACAGGAGCTCCCTCCCAGGTCACTATTCCCACCTTCACTCCCGCCTCTCCTCCACACTGCAGCTAGACATAGCCTGTTAAAATCTGGATGTGATCACCTGGCTCCTCTGCTCCAAAACTTCTCTATAGCTCCTACTTCCTTCAGATCAGAGGCCCACAACCTCAGGTTGTAATTGTGGATCTGATAACTGTGTGCCCCTCCCCCCCCACCCTCCCCCCCCCCCCCATATTCCCACCATATATAAGAGCCTTGCAGTTCCCTGAACATTCCAACTCACTCTCACCCCCATCACTTGAACATTCTGGAACCTGTGCCCAGGATACCCTTCCACATCTTACCCCATCAGTTGCCAGAAATGGGAAACGCTCCATAGAATCCAGGCCTCAGTTCAAAACCCTGGGCTTTGGTGAAACCACAAGGACTTTAGACCCAAGGGAGGGAGAAGACCAGGTGAACAATCTCAGGACACCATCATTCTTTACATGGGAGTGGCAAAACCATCAGGGTGATAACTGGGGTGGATGAAGATCTGTCACATCCTCCATTCACCTGAACAGGGTCCATAAGCATTTCTGCAAATGCCACAGGAACCTGTGGGAAGAGGGAGGCCATGAGAAAGGGGCAACCATGGTAGGATCCTACAGACTGAACTGGACCACCACCGCCCCTGCCCTGCCCTGGAGCACTGAGATCTCAGCCTGATAACCTAAGCTCTCAGCTCCTCTGACTTCTAATGCTGCTCTTACCTGCTGCGTGACTTTGCAGAAGGACTGAACCTCCTGAGCCTCAATTCCTTTCCTGTAAAATGGGGTTAACAATGGCCCCCACCTCAAAGAGCTGATAACAGTATTAAACACAATTAATACACACCACCTGGCAGCCGTAACTATCCACGGGATTAACAATTCTGTATGTTGTCAGTGCAAATAAAGGGATAGAGTTTTAAAAATGCAGGTCTGCATTGTTTCTGCTTTTTAAGATTTTCAGAAGATGTGACATATAACATTCTACTGTTAGCAAATACCACAGATAAATTAATTTTGCAATTTTATGAAGTACTGCCATGCTTAATTTATTGAATGAATTAATTTCTAGTTGCCTACCTATATGTACATATTTAGAGGACTATCGGTTACCCGACGTCTTAATCAATAAATGTTTCATACATCCTGAATTTAATGAATTGTAGGGACAGTCTGAGCAGGCAGCTCAGCTACTCTCCCTTTCAGCAAACAAGCCTACCTGCTACATGATCCCCTGAAGGACGCTTGCAGGACCCCTTTACTGTAGCACTCCTTCCTTCCTCTTGTCCTCAAGGTGGAGGAGGAGAAGACAATGCCCCTGTCTGGGACCCATCTGCTCCCCAAACCTGGCTACTCCTTTATCTCACAGGAATTGTCTCTAAGGATCAGCTGACCTGCTGGGCTGAGAGTCTATACATCCATCTCCACCCAGGCCAGCAAACTTACAAATCCAGGCATTCTCTTCTAGACACAGGCCAGAATACCTTCTATGTCAGGTATGCTCCTTTATGGAGGGAGCATTAAGGATGCTGAATCGCCCCCACACTCAAAGCCTCACCCCTCCTGACACCACAGAGCCCATCAGCAATAACGACCTTAAGACTCCCTCCTTGATCTGGCCCCGAGGCCGTGCTCTGGAGCAGTCCACACCCTCCACACCTGTGACAGCCCAGCCCCTTCCCCGTCCTCCAGACCTTCACCTCCACATGCTCATGTCACGTCTCCCCACTGAGGTATCTCAGCATCAACACGTCCAAAACCAAACTCATCATCTCCCCGATACCCGCTCCCTGGGCTCGCCTGCCCCACCGGCCTCCTTCCAGACGTCCAGGCGAAGAAGCCTTAACACGGCCCTTCACGCCCTGCTTTTGCTCACACGCGGACGTGATGCAGCGGGCAGTCCTGTCGGCTGTCGTGGAACCCTACGCAGAACCTCCTCGCATCTCGCTCTGCCGCCACCGCCCTGGCCCAGCCTCCACCAGAACTGCCGCGCGGGGGCCTGCCGTGCCTCCTCAGCAGGCTCCCCGCCTGCATTCCCCGTCCCGCTCTCCCCTACCTTCAACCTCGGACTCCGGGCGTGCGCCTCCCATCCCCGCCCCCTTGCGACCTTCCGCGGACCCGGGGGCCCACGCCGCACTGCGGGCGGCACCCCGCCCCGCCCTCCCTTCCCCGCACACACAAGGGTCCCGGTCCCCCCCACCCCTGCTCTCGACTCGGGAGCCCCTGCCGGGATCGCCCCCCGCCACGCCCCACCGCACGGACGGAGCCGGGAACCCCACGCCGGGGCGCCCTCTGCTCCCGCCCCGCGGGCCTGGCTGTGGGGAGCTGAGCGGGCGCCCCTCCATCGGGGCTGCAGCGCTCGGGGCGAGGGGCGGGCTGCCGAGGGCTCGGGGGTCGCACCACCGACCTGAGCCGGCTTCATCGGCGCGGCCTCCGCCTCCGAGCGGTGGGAAGAGCGGGGCGGGGAGCGGCCGGCCACCGGGCGGGGACGAAGGCGCCTCGCAGCCGCCTCTGCGGCGGAGACTACGCCTCTCCCCGCGCTTTCCATGTACTTCAGTCGGGACTTCGGTTCGCAATAAGGAGAGAACAGTCCCGAGAACGACAGGGGCACCAGACGCTATGGGGATGCTGCCGGAAGTTCCGCCCCCGTGCGACACGCACGCACGAAAACGCTCTCGGGTAAGCCTGGCAGGCTGGGCTGCCCCCGCCGCTGCGGCCGCACGGCCTTCTGGGTAATGTAGTTTCCGCGCCATCACTGCGCAGACCCAGGACGTAGGTCGTTCCTGACGGGGGATAAAGGCCAGATTGTGAGGAGCTCTGGGAAATGGAGTTCCGGGTTCTAAAGGGGCGGGGCCTTGCTGGTCCTTAAAGGGGCGATAGGTAGCTTTCCTCCTAGCGCGGCGTAGAACAAGTCACAGGACGGTCAAAGACCTGTTGATTCAGATTCCGTGAATCGCAGCACACTTCCAAAAGCCTGCACGGAGCCAGGGACACCGCATACAGTAATGTCACTCGCCGTCCCCTCATCGTTCTCAGCTATATCTGTTGCTTGCCAAAGATGAGTACACTGACCCTTTGGAGTCCTTTTTATGGGCTTCAGTAGTTTCAGTAAGAAGCCTCCAGGGGCGCCTGGGTGGCTCAGCTGGTTCAGTGTGGGGCTCTTAATTTCAGTTCAGGTCTTGATCCCAGGGTCGTGAGATCCAGCCTTGCCTCGGGATCCATGCTCAGCGCGCAGAGTCAGCTTGAGATTCTCTCCCTCTACCCCCAAATGGATAAATAAAATAAAATAAGATAAAATAAAAAGGGGGGAGGGGAAGGGGGAGGGGGGGAAGGAAGGAAGGAAGGAATGGAAGGGCCTCCAGACAGGGCTGTGATGGGGAACTTGAAGGAGGGGCGTAAGGAGGCCTTGAAGGAGTTAGAAAGGGTGAGGATGCGCCTCTGATTCCCACAGAAAACATTTTTCCCACCTGTACGGTCAGTAATGGTGTTCCAACCTAGAGAACAATACTTTTATTCAGATAATATTTATTACTGTATATCTGAGATACGTTCCGTTTAAGAATCTGAAACCTATCTGAAAAAAGGACTTATCACGTGCCATCTTCTACCTGAACAGTGTATGCCTTCCACACGATTTGGCCGTGTGTGCAAAGGGACATCTTATCCCTGAGATAAAGAACCGAGTATCCATAATCTCATCTCTTTGCTGGTTAGTGATTACCATTTCATCTGTAATTGCAGCAACAGTGAATGCACAGAGAGTTGAGATTATCTCTGGAAAAACACTTGTGAGATTGATATTACTGAATGCTATTAACGTTTTTCAAGGAAAGTGGCAAAAATAGTTCTAGAGAAATATATGTGTGACAAGTGGGGGGAAAAGTTAAGATCTCAGTGAAGTCTGAGTGAGACACCAAGTCTAAGAAGTCAGAGAATGAAGCTGAGACTGCAGCTTGCTGAAACCTTGGCTTCATTCATGGTTGGTCCCAAAATGTGATTATTTTTAATACCTAGAAACATTGTGCAGTAACAGCCTGTAGGGAGAGGAAAACACAATATTTACAGAGTTGCCAGAAAGATAAAAAGGAGTAGGGAAGTTGTACTATTGTGTCTACTGATCTGTGAATGTTCAATGAGCACTTACAGAAATTAGAATAATAGTCTCTTTAGCTGAACTACAGCACATGGCAGTACATTTTGAAAGGGCTTCAGAATAAAAACAAGACAGGACCCAATGTAAATTGTGTCCCTGCAGGTCTAACAGATAATAGCCCATTTCCCAATCAACCACTTATTGACAAAGACACTTGTAGATACTGTACATAGAAGGAACACTGGAAAAAGGATTGTCCCATCTTATGAAACAAAAACTAAGACAAAGAAAACACCTCAAGTCAGATCCATGAGGGTGCTCTGAGGAAGGAAAAAGTGCCTAATAACCAAGATGAATTAACCGATGGTCATCCTCATCAATTCCTGACAGAGTGGGTTACTCTTCCTACGTTAAAAACTGACAGCTTTGTTCAGTCTCTTCCTCCGAATGTAACATATTTAAAATAACAAATAGATTTTCTCCATTTCAAGCCTGAATTATAACCCTTGGGCCCCTGACTGAAAGATTAAAAGCATTCCTCCTGCTCTGTGATGCCAACCCTGCAAATTTAATAGGGATTTATTAAACTACATACTACCAAATATCCTATGTGTAAATGGAGAAACTAGAAGGGAAATTTTTAAAGTGTAAGTATTTGAGCTTGATAAAAGTAAAAATGCTACATATAAAAATCAATGTGACACAAGTAAACTAAACGATTAGAGGTAAATGTATAAACAGCTTATTACAAAAGACGATGTAAATAACCTAAACTTTTATGTTAAAAAAAAGAAAACCGAAAATGAGACGAAACTAATCCCAAACTAAGGATAAGAAAGAAAATAATAAAGATTAGAAGAAAAAAAAAGCTTACTGAAATTAGAAAACAGAAACACACACGCACACACAAAACCCTGATACAACTAAACCACACAAAAACCCTATAAGAGAAACAATTACAGGCCAATATTCCTGATGATCACACATGCAAAAGACCTCAAAAGAATATTAGGAAACTGAATTCAACAATACATTAAGAGGATCATACACCATGATCAAATGGGATTTATTCCAGGGATGCAAGGATGGTTCAACATCAGCAAATCAATCAACATGATACACCACATTAACAAAATGAGGGATAAAAATCATATGATCATCTCACTAGGTGCAGAAAAAGCATTGACAAAATTCAACATCAATTTATGACAAAAACTCTCAACAAAGTGGATATAGAAGAAATGTACCTCAATAGAATAAAGGCCATATATGACAAACCCAGAACTAACATCGTACTTAAGAGTGAAAAGTTGAAAGCTTTTGCTCTAAGATCAGGCACAAGGCAAGGGTGCCACTCTTGCCACTTTTATTAGATTAGTACTGGAAGTCCTAGCCACAGCAAATGGACAAGAAAAAGAAATGAGAGACATGCAAATTGCTAAGAAAGTAAAACTGTCACTATTCACAGATGACAAACCACATAGAGAAAACCTTAAAACCTCCACTCAAAAACTATTGCAACTAATAAATGAATTCAGCAAATTTGCATGATACATAATCAATATACAGAAATCTGTTGCATTTGTATACACTAATAACAAACTATCAGAAAGAAAAATTAAGGGGCACCTGAGTGGCTCAGTTGTTAAAGTGTCTGCCTTCGGCTAAGGTCATGATCCCGGGGTTCTGGGAGCGAGCCCCACATTGGGCTCTGTGTTCAACGGGAAGCCTGCTTCTCCCCCTGCTTGTGTTCCCTCTCTCGCTAGGTCTCTCTCTGTCAAATAAATAAATAAAATCTTAAAAAAAAGAAAGAAAAATTAAGAAAACAATCCCATTTACAACTGCATCAAAAAGAATAAAATACCAAGTAATAAATTTAACCAAGGAGGTGAAAAGCCTGTACTCTAAAAGCTGTCAAGACAATGATGAAAGAAATTAAAGACAACACAAATAAATGGAAAGATAATTCACACTCATGGATTAGAAAAATTAACACTGTTAAAATGTCCATACTATCCAAAGCAATCTACAGATTCAATGCAATCCCTATCAAAATACCAATGGTATTTTTCACAGAATAGTCCTAAAATTTGCATGGAACCACAAAGGACCTAAGAGCCAAAACAATCTTGAAGAAGAACAAAGCTGGAGATACCATGCTCCCAGATTTTAAACTATACTATGAAGCTATAGTAGTCAAAACAGTACGGTACTGGCACAACAAAAGACACATAGATCAACAAAACAGAACAGAAATCCAATAAATAAACCCACACTTATATGGTCAATTAATCTATGACAAAAAGACAAGAATACAGAATGAAGAAAAGACACCCTATTTAATAAATGGTGTTGGGAAAACTAGACAGCTACATGAAAAAGAATGAAATTGGATCATTTTATTATACCATATACAAAACTAAACTCAAAATGGGCTAAAGACTTAAATATAAGACCTGAAAGCATAAAATTCCCAAAAGAAAACATAGGCAGTAAGTTCTTTGACATTGGTCTTAGCAATATGTTTTTGGATGTTCCTCAGGTAAGGACAACAAAAGCGAAAATAAACAAATGGGACACCAACTAAAAAGCTTTGCACAGCAAAGGAAACTATCAACAACAAAAAGGCAACCTACTGAATGGGAGAAGCTATTCACAAATTACATATCTGATTAGGGGTTAACATCAAAAATATATGAAGAACTCATAAATTCAATATAAAAATTGATTTAAAAATAGGCAGAGGACCTGAAGACCTTTTTCCAAAGATGACTTACAGATGAATAACAGGCACACAAAAAGATGTGATGTTCAACATCAGCACCAGGGAAATGCAAATCCAAACCACAATGAGGTATCACCTCACACCTGTCAGAATAGCTTTTATCAAAAAGACAAGAAATAGGGTGCCTGGGTGGCTCAGTTGGTTAGGCAGCTGCCTTCGGCTCAGGTCATGGTCCTGGAGTCCTGGGATCGAGTCTCACATTGGGCTCCCTGCTCAGCGGGGAGTCTGCTTCTCCCTCTGACCCTCTTCCCTCTCATGCTCTCTTTCTCTCTCTCTCAAATAAATTCTTTAAAAAAAAAAAAGACAAGAAATAAGTATTGGCAAGGATGTGGAGAAAAGGGAACAGTTGTACACTGTTGGTGGGAATGTAAATTGGTGCAGCCACAATGGAAAACAGTATGAAACTTCCCTCAAAAATTATAAATAGAAATACCATATGATCCTGCAATTCCACTTCTAGGTATTTATCTGAAGAAAGTGAAAGCACTAATTCAAAAAGACATATGTACCCCTATGTCATCACATTATTTACAATAGCCAAGATATGGAGGCAACCAGGATGTCCAATGATAGGCAAATGCATAAAGATGTGTGTGGAGTTACACATCTCTCTCTCTCTCTCTCTAGTTATCTCTATAAATATCTATCTACCTAGCTATATATAGATACAATGGAATATTAGCCATAAAAAAGAACAAAATCTTGCCATTTGTGACATGGATGGACCTAGACAGTATTATGCTAAGTGAAATAAATCACCCAAAGACAAATACCATATGACTTCACTTATATGTGGAATCTAAAATGCAAAACAAATGAACAAATGAAACAGAAACAGCCTCACAGACACAGAGAATGATGGTTGCTAAAGAGAAGGGGGATGGGGACAGATGAGAGAGCCAAAGAGGGTTAAGAGGTTCAACCTTCCCATTGTAAAATAAGTAAGGCACAGGGATACAAAGTACAGACCAGGGAATATAGTCAGTAATATTTTAAAAACATTGTATCGTGACATATGGCAACTAGACTTGTGGTGACCATTTTGTAAAGTGTATGAATACTCAATCAGTATGTTGTACACCTGAAACTTACACGATATAGTAGGTCAATTATTCTTCAACTAAAAAAATCAATGAAATTAAAAATTGGTTCTTTCAAAAGATCAACAAAATTGATAAAACTTGAGGTAGACAAAGAAAACAAATTAACAAAAGCAGGAATGAAGACACTACTCACCCTAAAAAAATTAGAAGTATCATAAAGGAATATTATTAAAATCTTTGTCCCCCCAAATTAGACAATTCCATTGAAATGGAAAAATTCCTTAAAGGACATCAATTATCCAAAACTGACACAAGTAGAAAAACTACATAGTACTGTATTAAGCAAATTTTGACTGAAAATTGATCGAAAGTCTTCCCACAAGAAAACTGTAGGGTCAAGTGCCTTCACTAAGGAATTCTAGCAAACATTTTAAAGAAATATCACTAAACTGCAAAACTCAAAAACTCTTCCATCCTACCAGAAAATAAAGGAGGAAACACTCCCAACTTTTTCTGTGAGGTCAGGATTCCTTTGATAGCAAAGTCACACAGAGATAGCACAAGAAATCTACAAAACTGTTCTCTCTCATCAATATAGATGCAAAATACACTAATAAAGTATCAGAAAACTGACTTGGCAACATATACAAAGGACCATACATCATGACCAAGTGGGATTTGTCCCAGGAAATGCAAGGTTAGTTTGACATCTGAATATAAATTAATGGATTATACCATATAAATAACCCCCCCCCGCCAAAGCCCACCCAACAGGATTATCTCAATAAGTGGAAAAAAATTGGAACAGCATCTAAAAATAGATCAGCAGAAATAGTCAGCTGATTGTTGAAAGAGGAGCAAAGGCAATTCAGTAGATAGTCTTTTCACCAAATGGTGCTTGAACTATTGAGCATCCTCATGTTAAAAAAAAAAAAAAAAAGATCTAGGGGCACCTGGACGGCTCGGTTAAGGGTTAAGGGTTAAGGGTTAAGTGTCTGCCTTCGGCTAGGTTCATGATCTCGGGGTCCTGGGATTGAGCCCCACATTAGGCTCCTCTGCTCATTGGGGAGTCCGCTTCCCCCTCTTCCTCTGCTCCTCCCCTGGCTTGTGAATTCTCTCTCAAATAAAATCTTTTTTTAAATGATTTAGATATAGAATTTACACTTGCACAAATATTTTCTCAATATGGGTAATAGACCTAAACACAAAACACAAAACTACAGAACACCTAGACAATAACATTGAACAAAATGCAGGTGACCTTGGATTTGGCAATGCTTTATACACAACACCAAAAATACAATCCTTGAGAAAAACTGGGTAATTTCAACTTGATTAAACTTAAAATTCTGGGTGCACCTGGAGGGCTCAGTTGTTAAGCGTCTGCCTTCGGCTCAGGTCATGATCCCAGGGTCCTGGGATCGAGCCCCACATCGGGCTCCCTGCTCCGCGGGGAGTCTGCTTCTCCTTCTCCCACTCCCCCTGCTTGGGTTCATGCTCTCTCTCTCTCTCTCTGTGAAATAAATAAATAAAATCTTAAAAATAAATAAATAAATAAATAAATAAATAAATAAAATTAAAATTCTCCTCTGCAAAAGATAGTGTTAAAAAACATGAAAATGATATTCATGTCATTAGGGCATTTCAAATTAAAGCAACAATGACATACCATTACATACCTATTACAATGGCCAAATTCCAAAACACTGACACCACCAAATGCTGATGAGGATGTGGAGCAACAGAGACGCTCATTCATTGCTGGTGGGAATGCAAAATGGTACAGCCACTTTGCAGGACAGTTTCTTACAGGGGCGCCTGGGTGGCTCAGTTGGTTAAGTGTCTGCCTATGGCTCAGGTCATGATCCCAGGGTCCTGGGATTGAGCCCATGTCAGGCTCGCTGCTCAGTGGGGAGTCTGCTTCTCCCTCTCCCTCTGCCCTTACCCCTACTTGTGCTCTCTCAAATAAATAAAATCTTAAAATAAAAAGAAGACAAATTATTACAAATCTAAACATACTCTTACTATATGATCCAGTAAATCACACTCCTTGGCTAGAACCAAGAGATGAAAACTTACATCCACACAAAACCTACACACAAATGTATATTGCAGGTTTATTCGTAATCGCCAAACTTGGAAGCAACCAGGATGTCCTTCAGTAGTGAACAGACAAACTGTGGCGTATTTATATAATGAAATGTTATTAAGTGATAACTTGCACAGAGATCTTCAGAGCAGCTTTATTTGTAACAGCCCCACACTGGAAACAACCCAAAAATTCACTAATAGCTTAATGGATAAAAAACAATTGTGGTATATGCATATAATGGAATAATACTCAACAATACAAATGAACAACCTATTGATACATGCAACAAGATGGATTAATTTCAAAATAGTTATGGATAGTGAAAAGGGCTAGAGTCCCCACTCCCCCAAATGTATATACCATATGACTCTGTCTATATAAAATTCTAGAAAATGCTTGTTGTTTATGAATTGTGGCAAAGGGTATTAGAAAGACTAAGATAAAAGGATTATAAAGGGACACATGGAATCTTTTGGTTGTGTTGAATATGTTCATTATCTTGATTGTGGTGACGGTTTCACGGTATATACATATGCTGAAACATAATACATTTCACACTTTCATGTGCAGTTTATTTCATGTCAGTCATACCTCAATAAAGTTTGAGAACTAAGTGTTCCCCATAAAGTCCCTATTTACCATCCCTCTTAGAAAGTCACATCTGCCAACTATTTTGGTTCTCCCATATCCCTCTCCCAATTTAGGAGAATGAACCCTGCCTCAATGTCAGCAAAAACTGGAGAGCAATGAAATCCATGTCCACTTCAGTCACCAGGAATGCTACCTGGGTCAGGGAAGCCCTATCCTTGGATCTCTCTTTTGTCGATGCTGAGGTTCCTGCTTGTGTAGTTATGGCCACAACATCAACAGCCCAGGGAGGTACAGGAATCCACAAACTTTTAGACACTGACAGTGGCCTTGGCCGCAGGAAATACAGATGTCTGAGGTCCAGAGAATTTCTATAGTCTCATCCCGCAAAAATCACATGGACATTTGTAGATGCCTCTGCTAGAAGAGACACATATCCTCTCATTGGCCACATTCATCCCCACTCCATTATCTCAGTGTTGTTGTCCCAATTATGAGCCTCACCTTGCCCTGTAGGCCTTCCAATGACACCTGCCTACGGGATTCTGGACATCAGGCACTGGCTCCTATGCAGATCTAGGAGACAGAAATCTCTCAAAAGTGCTGGGGAATATGGAACATTCCCTAGGAACAAGAGACCCAATTCATGTTTCCAGAAGAACTGGAGATTTTCACACCAACTATGCCTTCCTCAGAAATGAACTCTGGGCTCACAGGAAATCTTGCCGTCCAGGCCACAGGATGAGGCGTACAAAGCTCTTCGCTCTTTTCTAGCAAGCCTTGGGCACAATGCAACTTAGGCCAGCTAGACTGAGATCTGTTCTCTGCCATCCTGCTGACCCTTCTGAGGCACATGAAGTTGGTGGAAGAACCCGACTTTTTCTTAATCTGTTCCACACAGTGAATAGACCCCACCACACAAACAACAGTAGAGATCGCCACAGTAGGCCTGTGTCACTGCATGAATCGGAGCAGCATGGGACAAGCAGTTCTAAAGATGGGTGATTTAGAAGAAGACAAATGAGTTCACGGTTATTATGTTTAGTCAACATTGTTTATGAAGAGAAACTTGTCTGGAAATCCCCAGCAGCCTCCAGTTCAGATCCTCTTGGCCAGAGCTGGATCATGTCCACTGAGAATCCAGTCACGGGGGAGGCAGTGAGGATCTCACTGGGTTCAGAACACTCTTGATTCCCTCCAGAGAACAGGACGGGGAGCACAGGGGTCTGCCTTCCCCGAGCATACTGGAGTGACTGACACACACTGTGGGACCTTTGACAGCTGGTAGTAATGAGATGGCTCCTGCCACAGGCACTGGCAGTGACAGAACTCTGTCAAGAGCCCTGGACAGTTTAGAAAGTGCAATGCACCTATAAAAGCTTCCCACCTACGTGGTACTAACTGGGAATCTCCCCATGATACCTGTATGAATGTACAAGGTTCACCTGCTGGTTGATGGTTCCCTCACAAAGGGTACTCACAGAGATTTTTTCTGGTGTGAATCCTATCAGGTCGAACAAAGAGATGGAACATTTTCTGCATTCATAAGGCCTTTCTTTAGTGTGAGCTTTCTGTTGCTAAACAAGTTTAAGAGATGTAGCTAAAGGATCGTCAAATCTATTGCATTCATGAGGCTTTTCTCCAGTGTGAACTTTCTGGTGCCGAACAAGATGGGAACTTCTACTGTAGGCTTTCCCACATTCGCTGCACACGTAAGGCTTTTCTCCAGTGTGAACCCGCTGATGTAGAATGAGGCTAGAGTTTCGGCTAAAGAATTTCCCACATTCACGACATTCATAAGGTCTTGCTCCAGTGTGAACTTTCTTGTGTTGAACAAGGTGGGAGCTACTAATGTAGGCTTTTCCACATTCACTGCACACATAAGGCCTTGCTCCGGTGTGAACTCTCTGGTGTAGAATGAGGCTGGAATTGTGGCTGAAGCATTTTCCACATTCACTGCACTCATAAGGCTTCGCTCCAGTGTGAATTCTCTGGTGTACAATAAGGTTGGAGCTATGGCTAAAAAATTTTCCACATTCACCACACTCATAAGGCCTTTCTCCAGTGTGGATTTTCTGGTGCTGCACAAGTGTGTCTTTACGACTAAAGGCTTTCCCACATTCGCTGCACTCGTAAGGCCTTGCTCCAGTGTGAATTATCTGGTGCTGAACAAGTGTGTCTTTGCAGCTGAAAGCTTTCCCACATTTGCTGCACACATAAGACCTTGCTCCTGTGTGAACTCTCCGATGTTTAATGAGGCTCGAGTTATGGCTAAAAAACTTTCCACATTCAATGCATTCATAAGGCCTTGCCCCAGTGTGAATTCTCCAGTGCTCAATAAGGTGGGAGCTTTGGCTAAAGAATTTCCCACATTCACTGCACTCGTAAGGCCTTTCTCCAGTATGAAACCTCTGGTGCTGCACAAGAGTGTCTTTGCGGCTGAAGGCTTTTCCACATTCACTGCACTTATAAGGCCTTTCGCCAGTGTGAATTCTCTGGTGTTGAACAAGGTGGGAACTTCTGCTGTAGGCTTTTCCACACTCACTGCAGTCATAAGACCTTTCCCCAGTGTGAACTCTCTGGTGTTGAACAAGTGTGTCTTTGCGGCTGAAGGCCTTCCCGCATTCACTACATGTGTAATGTCTTTTTCCAGTGTGAAATTTCTGGTGCATTTTTAGGTGAGACAAATGAATGAAGGCCTTTCCACACTCTTTACACACATGTGATATTTCTCCACTGTGAACTTTTCTGTGATTAGTAAGTGCTGATCTCTCCTTGGACATACTTCCACAAGGTGGGAATCTAAAAGGTCTTACTTCAGTATCATTCACCCGGTTGCCAAGGAGAGTAAAGGTATTCAGGAAGCCCTTCCCATTGTCAGTGCAATTGAAAAGCACCAGTCCATCATGGTCTCCCTGGTGTTGGCCAAGACTGGCACTGTGTGGGAAAGATTCCATGAACTCAGTCCTTTCGTATGGAATCATCCCATTGCCAGTGGTCTGGCAAAAGAAGAGGCCAGACCTGTCCAGCAAGTCCATCCCTTCCTCCCTGCAAGTAAAGGGTCTCCCTAACATGTGGACTGCACAGCTCTTCATATATGAGGCCCCACTAACACTCCCACTGAAGAGATCCTCTCCACTATATCGCTTTTGGTGCTGGTAAAAGTTTGCACTGATCAAGAATCCTCTCCCACATGGGCCACGTGTGTACAGTTTCTGCAAGGGGTGTGATCCCTGGTGTTCGGCCAAGTGCAAAACGTCTTTTAAGAGCGGGTCACACACCTCACATGGGTGGGCTTTCTGGATAAATGCACCTGACTCGGGAGTCCTGAGCTGCGACAATCCTATAGAAATGCTCTGCTCAGAAGGAGTCTCCTCATTATCTGTTTCACGCCAACAACCTGAAAGCAAAAAGATGCTGGTGAGGTACATGTTGACTTTGGTGGACAGCAGCAGCCCCATCACATGTGTGTGTGTGAAACACCGAAGAATGAGGGCACTGGCTTGCTGGTGGGACAAGGGAGGCAGGGTCAGGGTGAGGAAAGGCCCACTGTCAGTCCCAGGTCTCTAAAGGTCATAGTAAGGGTAGACACGATGGTGGTACATGGTCTAGGGAACAGAGAAGCGTTTTCCAGCTCACTCCTCTATGGAGTAGGGCCTTGGCTGCTGGTGCCAGCCGAGCTCTGTGCAGAAGGATGTGTCCAGGCCCAGGAAAATCTGACTGCGAATAAGTAGCTGGTTCTTAAGGATATGTGCACAACTCACTGCACATTAAAGTAGCCAGCACTGCAGAATGAATGAGACACAGAAGCCAGAAAAGGGAGGAAACAGCCAAGCGATGGAAGACAGAAGAGAAGTTACAAGTGGACAAAGTGCCAAGAATGGGGAAGGAGAGGCAGAAATGAGGTATCGCTGTAGGCCTTGAGAAAAAAACACCGGTGGACACAAAGTAGGCTGAAAGTATGATCTGAACCCAGCACTAACGTGCCACTCCTCCAGCTCCCATTCTGCAGGGCCAGGTCCTCTCTGGGTCTCTCTCACTGTGGCTGGAGTCAGGTCTGCCCTGTCAGACACCCAGGGCTTTCTGCCCCTCTCCAACTGAGCCACCTCATGGGATCTGAAGTTGTCAAGAAAACACAGGGCAGATGAATGGCCCAGGCAGTCCCACCCCACAGAGAAGAAAATTAAATGTTAAAAAACAGAGCCTCAAAGGAGGATTTAGCAGAACAGCCCTGAGACATCCATGAGCAGTGACCACACCAGTACCTGTAATTCCTGGCATGCTCAGGCCCCAGGAAATGTCAACTACAGAATGAGGGCAGAACCTGGGACACCAAGGTACCATGGATCTGGACAGTTACCTGGCCAAGGAGCGCACCAGCCATGCTGAACCTGTTGAACAGACTGCAAAAGCCCTGAACCCCTAACCCAATTCCCGCCCTTGTGTGAGCCTCTTCCTTCCTGTAGGCTGGACTGCCTGACCCATTTCTAAGGATAACGGGATGTCACTTTCAAGACCAGGTTAGAAAAAGACCGGATGCCATCCTGGGCGTTCTCTCACTCACTTGGAGAGAAGGCAGCTTCCATGTTAGGAGGTACACTAGAGAAAGGCCAACATGACAAGGAACCGAGGGAAGCCACTGGCCAAGAGCCAGAGAGGAACTATTCTCACAGTTCAACAAGCCACAAGAAACGAAATCTTGCGAACAACCACATGAGTGAGTTTGTAAGTGGATTCTTCCTGAGACTGGCCTTCAGATGAGAACACAACCCTGGCTGACAGCTTGACTGAAACCTCATGAGACAGCCTGAGCAAAAAGCACGCAGGTAAGCTGTCACCAGGTCCCTGATGCACTGAAACAGTGAATTTTTACTGTTTTAAGCCACTAAATTGTGGGGTAATTTGCCATATACCAGTAGATAAAACAAAGACTTACCCAGTGAGGCCACAAGTGCAAAGTTCTCCAGCATCACATCACGGTACAGGAGTCTCTGAGCTTCCTCAAGGAACTCCCACTCCTCCCGGGAGAAGTACACGAACACATCCTCGAAGGTCACACAGCCCTGTCACGACGGGGGACAGTTGAGCCCACAGGCCACAGGGGTCACCTGTCTGTCCACTCACACAACCACCCCTGGTCCCTCTCCTTCCAGCCTCTCACCTCAGAGGAGATATCAGGCCTTGGCACCATTAGCGCCTGCTCTCTCTTCATGTCTCTCTGATCACTGTGTGCGGCCTGGAGCCAGGCAGGTGGGCAGATAAATACTGTGTAAGCTGTGGGTCTTCCATGAAGGGCACCAAACTCTCTAGCTGGCCAGTTCTCCCGGTGTCTTCCAGGCCATGCCTCCCAGACACAACCTTAAGGCCATCAGTTCACACTTCTCCCAACATGTACATCATTCTTTGAACTACCCCTTCTTCCCAGTTGGAACCATCTTTACCAACAACAACTTTCTGGTCCACAACATGTGCACCTACAGGGCACACACACCCCCATGCCACTCTGCACGTGGTGTGTGGGAAGTGCTCAGATATCTTTGTGACAGGAACCAGTGTCACCCAGCGCCTATGCAAGAGACCCAGTCCTCAGTCCCAAGTTTCAACTTTCTTGTTATTAACTGCATTGCCGCCATGACCTGGAGATACTCCCTCCTAAATGTAACGCACAGCTTCACCCCATTCCACACATCGGCCCCCACCTTTTGAACTTCTGCAACCAGGACCTCTCCCAGAACTAAAAACCTATATCCAGCTTGATGTTTCAACTAAGGAGTCTCTGGCACTTCTTAAACTAAACATGAGAAAAGCCTACCTCCCAAAATAATCACAGAAAATTACTCCTGCTACCAGCTTCCCTATCTCAGTTGATGGCATTTCCATCACTCAACCAGGTAAAGAAAACAAAACAAAACAAAAAACCAAAAACCCCCAGGGTCACCCACAACTCATCCGTTTCTCTCATTCACCCTTCACACCAGAAAATCTGGTCACCCTGCTTAAAAAACAGATACAAAATCCACCAACATCTCTTACCTCCACAGCCACCTCTCCGGGCCAGTTACCATCAACACTCACAGCCTATTGCGGTAGGTGCCCCACCCGTACTCAATGCTCTGTTCTCAACCAAGGAGCAGCCGAAGGGAGTCCATTAAAATCTGAGTCAGGTCGCCTCTCTCTTCTGCTCCAAATCTCCCATGTCTTTCACCACCCTCAGAATGAGGCCCAGCTCCTCAGCCTGCCATTCCTGTCTGACTCCTGACCCTATTCCCAACAGACAATTAAGATCTGTGGTTCCTTGAGGACACCCACTTCGATCTTACCTCCCAGCATTTACACAAGGCTGCTCCTGGGCCCAATACACCCTTAGTCTTCATCCTATTGGCTGCCTGAAGTAGGAACCTCTCTATATAACTCCTGGCCTGAATTCAGAATGCTGGGCTAGAAATGACCTCCCCGCCAATTTAGGGTCCCCAGACTCAAATGCAGAGGGAAAATTAAAGAGTCCTAGAATATCACTATGTCTCATCAGGAAACCCAGCGGGCCCTACTTTAAAAGCAAGCACCAAACTCCTACACTTCCCTAACCTCCACTGCCACCACTCTGGTCCACCCACCATCAACATTCACCTGGTCTATCGAAGTAAGCTCCGCTCTGGCCTCCCTGCCCAGCCCCACGCCCCCAATCTTTCCGCTCTGCAGCCAGACGGAGTCTGTTAACACCTAAGTCAGATCGTCTCCCTTCTTTGTTCCAAGTCTCCCATGGCTCCCACTACCACCAGAACATAAGCCCAGCCGCTCAGGCTGCCGTTCCCGGCCTGACTCCTGGCCACCCGCTGTGCCTTCTCACCAGATGTAACAGGGACCCTCGGTTCCTGGAACACTCCTAGTTCATTCCCACCGCAAGGGTTTGTACCAGCTGGCTCCTGCACCTTGGAAACCCTTGCACACCGCAACCCACCGACGCTAGTACTGGGAACCTCGCCACATATCCGCCGGGACTGACCGCCCTCCGCCGCCTTGACGCTCAAGAGCGGGGCGCGCTACGTGAGGAAGGTCCCTGAACACGCCACCCCCTACATCCGCGTCGGTGAGGGCCTGAGGGACCCTCTGCTCACCTGAGCCCCATCCATCAGCGCCAGGGCTGCCATGGGATCCTGTGAGCAGAAGCGGGCAAACCGGACAGGCCCTGCGGGATCGGCCGGAACCCCAAAGCTCCACCAGGCGGGGAGACCTCGGGCCGACCGCCGCCCTCCGAGCCCGTCTCCCCCGCGTGAAGAAGCGCACAGGCTTAGGGCGCCGCGGCCGGGGGCGTACGAGGACAGGGCGCGGATGCGAAGGCCGCGGGAAGGGCGCAGCCCCGGGGGACACCTCCGCGCAAGGCAGCCGGTCCCACGACGGGGCTCGTGGAGGGCAACAAAGGCGCGTGTTTTACCGTCCTTCCCTGCTCGGTGCCGAGGAGCCGCGGGGGAAGCGGACCCGCCCCAGTCCCAGAGCCTCTGCCGCCGGTGCTGATAGTCCCGGCACAGGCAAAAGACGTCACGACGCCGACGCCGAAAGCCCCTCCTCAGCCTCGCCGGGCGGCGGGAAACGCCTCTCTTCCGGTCTGTCGTAGGCAGGACGAAGATGCGGCGAGCACAGATTTCTGGGTAATGTAGTTGGTACCCTGCGTCGACGAGGCGATGGGCATCTTGCCGGTTTGTCCTGGCAACCGCAAAGCCGCCCGGGGCGGAGGCCGATTGGAGGAGAAAGATAAGGGAGAAACGCGGCCCAGTAGTGCCAAAGCTCCTCTTAAAGGGGACGCACCCAGACTTCTGTGGTCACCTGGGACAGAGCCACGTCCTCAGAGGTCTCCAGCACGTGATCCAGTCTTTTAATCCTGAGTGAGCTGCTTCACCTCTCTGAGCTTTGGGGACTGAGATTTATTTACTTATTTGTTTGTTTGTTTTTAAAGATTCTATTTATTTCACAGAGAGACACAGCGCGAGAGAGGGAACAGAAGCAGGGGGAGTGGGGGAGGGAGGAGCAGGCTTCCCGCCGAGCAGGGAGCCCGACGCGGGTGGGGCTCGATTCTAAGACCCGGGGATCACGACCCAAAGGCTGACGCGCCCAACGACTGAGCCGCCCAGGCGCCGCGGGGACTGAGCTTTAAATGGAATAGTGCATATGCCTCGCTGGTGGGGCCTTTCGGTAGTATCATGAAATGTTCCTCTAATTCGTTGATTCCCACCTTTAAGCCCCTGACGGGCAGTATCATCATCACCCGTGAACTTACTGAAAATCAAAGTTCTCTGACCCAACCTACACTTTCGGACATGTAAGCCCCGGGGGCAGGGCCCTAGCTTAAGCTTGAGGACTGGTCTCTTGAACAGTCATGACCAGGGCCCCTGGGTGGCTCACTCAGTGCTTGGTGGAGAGCCTGCTTCTCCCTCTCCCTCTGCTGCCCCACCTGCTTGTGCATTTTCTCTCTGTCAAATAAACAAAATCTTACAAGTCAGGACTGTCCCCCTTCCTCCCAAATTTAATAACTAAAATGGGAAAATAGTACAACCTACTTCAGGGGAAATGAGATGATAAATACTTAACACAGGGCCTAGTGCTAAATACATACAGGCTGTTGTTATTATTCATCATCACAAAGTTCTCACATGTTTATTCTACAAGGCGGGGGATGGGAGTGTCACTCCAGCAGCAGCTGGGAGATGACTTAGCTATCCCTTAGGTCACCCAGGAGAGGGCTGATACCTGGTCATTTCCATTATTTGCAGAGTTCTTGGTTTTGTCTGTGCTATGACATGATGATGAGATGGTTTTGTCTTTGTCTCAGTCTGTCATGGTCACTGAGTGGCCTTGACTGCGGTTGGTGTTCTGTAAACTTGTTTATGTTAGACAGGAGAATCCCAGAGTTTAGAGCTGAGTGCCAGATCGGCTACTAACGCCGTGACCTGGCCCTCGGGATCCCTCTGAGCTCCTATTTCCCTTTCCATTATGACCCTTCCTGTGGAAAATTTCCACCTGTAATACAGAAGGAAATTAGCCCCACACAGAGTTCTAGGAAGCGGGAACATCACACACAAAGCTCTGAGCATGTGAGGATCCTGTGCATTGGGTAACGTGGAAGTGCAGGCTGGGGAGATCTGAGGTCAGGGCCTTGGTGACTGGTCCCCCTGAGAGGCTGGTCAGAGAAGCCTCTCAGAGGAGAGGAGTTCTGAGTTGGGACAAGCTGAGGGCACGGATATGCCAGAGGGGACATTGTTCTAGAGTGCCCCGCTGCTGGTGAAGCCTGCAGAGATCCCCTTAGTCAGAGGTGACTGGACTGTGGCAGAACCAGGGACCTGGGTCCAGTTTGGGCAGTTGGTGAGGGGCACCCAGAGGCAGATGCAGGCAGAGCACACTCAGGCACACCACGAACATACACAGTTTGGGAGCTGACCCTACAACACCATCATACCCAGATCTACCAAAAATGTATTGGCAGACATGCACAGCCAGAGACACACATACAGGACACAATGTCCTATGCAGATGCACACACAGATACCCACGAAGACAAAGACATAAGAGTTGGGGGTACTGTTATATTTATATCAACTGAAGACACATGCACCTGCAAGACAGACACAGACATAGAAGGACACCCAGACACAAGTCCCACACACATCAAGAACAGTGCTCCCAGGGACACTGTGGGTAACAAGCAGATGCACCCATTGGCACGAATGCATACATGCAGACATCCAGGTACACACTAGGACACACACATGCAGAAAGAGTATGCAGACATCCGCAGAAAGAAAGTCCTGGACACAAGAGAACACAAGAACAACAGAGACAACCACATAGCCAAAAGTAGACTCATGTATACAGCAGCCACACTGACAGACACACGTGTACAAATGGTCATATATAGATAGATACAGCCATCCAGAGAGAGGCACACACACAAAATCTCACTCACTCACACAGACACACATTCACAAAGAAATTCCCTAATGCGGGTAAACAGATCCATATCCCCAGGAATGTGGTGATAAATGTGTAACATCTGCTTCTGAGAAAAAAGTGCATTTGGATTACAGAAGTTCATTACACACTTCACTGATATAAAGGATGTGTAGCATGCAGCTTACAGATGATAATAATATATACAGTGGTCTCTATTGTAAGCTTCGCATAGCCAAATGATTCTCAAAGAATGCTTTCATTAGTTTTTGCTTTAACTCTGATGTGTCAAGATTTGTATAAAATTTCCACATATTTGTATATTGCAACCAAGCAAATCCAATTCTGCGTGTATACGCAATAGAAATGAGGGCATTTTTCTTTCAAAATATACAGTTGATCCTTGAACAACCCAGATTGGAACTGCATGGGTCCATTATATGTGGATTTTTTTTTTAAGATTTCATTTATCTATTTGACAGAGAGAGACACACAGCGAAGAGGGAACACAAGCAGGGGGAGTGGGAGAGGGAGAAGCCTACTCCCCGCTGAGCAAGGAGCCCGATGCGGGGCTCGATCCCAGGACCCCGGGACCATGACCTGAGCCAAAGGCAGACGCTTAATGACTGAGCCACCCAGGCGCTCCTGGATTTTTTTTTATACAGTACAGTACTGTGAATGTATTTTCTCTTCCTTATGATTTTCTTTTTTTTAAGATTCTATTTTATTTGAGAGAGAGAGAGCACAAACAGGGGCAGGGAGGGGCAGAGGCGGAGGGAGAAGCAGACTTCCCGCTGAGCAGTGTGCCCCAAGCGGGGCTCCATCCCAGGACCCTGAGATCATGACCTGAGCCAAAGGCTGACACTTAACCGACTGAGCCACCCAGGTGCCTCCCTGATGTTTTTCTTAATAATATTTTATTTTCTCTAGCTTACTTTATTATAAGGATACAGGAGGTAACATACAAGATATGTTAATCAACTGTTTATGTTCTCAGTAAGGCTTTTAGTCAATAGTAAACTATTATTAGTTAAGTTTTAGGAGAGTCAGAGTTTACATACGGATTTTCAACTTTAGGTTGGCACACCTAACCCTCGTGTTGTTCAAGGTCAGCTGTAGGATTATAGGTTTATAAGCAACTTTATTGATAATAACCAAGAACCTGAGACCACCCACAGAGCTATCAATGGAGACATGCCTAAATAAATTATATGGCCACAAAACAGAAGAAAACACAGGAATGAAAACTACTGCTTCATGCGACAGTGCAGATGAATCTCCTAGAAAGACAGTGAGTGACAGCGATACGAGTCAGGGACAAAGTAGTACGTGCTGTAACCTTGTAGAAAGGTTAAAAAACAGGTGAAACTAATATATGGTGAGAAAGGACAATGGTCATCTTTGTGCAGGGCTGTTGAGAACGTCCTATGACTTTGTATGAGTCGGGTTTATATGCGTGTTGACAGGCAAATACTCGTCAAGCCACACACTTAAGATTTGTCCATTTTATCTTTTTATCTATGTAGAAAAAAATATAAATAAATACAATGCACAACCCATAGCATAAAAAAGAGCATAGGAAAGGGCACCTGGGTGGCTCAGTCGTTAAGCGTCTGCCTTCGGCTCAGGTCATGATCCCCGGGTCCTGGGATCGAGCCCTGCATCGGGCTCCCTGCTCCGCGGGAAGCCTGCTTCTCCCTCTCCCACTCCCCCTGCTTGTGTTCCCTCTCTCGCTGTGTCTCTCTCTGTCAAATAAATAAATAAAATCTTTTAAAATAAAACATTACAGAAATATTTGAAACAGGTCTTGAAAAACACACCTGTTAAAATCATTTTTGAAAAGACTTAAAACCTCGATCCTAGGACCCCGGGATCATGACCTGAGCCGAAGGCAGACGCTTAACGACTGAGCTACCCAGGTGCCCCCCACACCTGTTATAATCATTAAAAAATAACACATGAACACATGTGAATCTTGTATTTATATCAGAAAAAAATAATTTCAATGGAGAAAGCATCACCAAAAAGATAAAATATGTATGTAATTTGTAATACTGACTCAAATTACATAAAGAAACTATTTCAGAATAACAAGGGTAAAGATACCAGTTCATTAATATATCAAGCATTTTTATATCAGCCATCCCGGAAATTATTTTTTTTTGCTAAATAATGATATCCCTATATATTCTTTTTAAGATTTTATTTATTTGAGAGAGAGAAAACAAATAGGGAGGAGGGGCAGAGGGAGGCGTCCCCTGTAATATTTTAGATGTGTATCTTGTATCCATGCTATTGTTGGATATTTTTTTAAAGATTTTATGTATTTGTTTGACACAGAAAGAAAGAGAGCGAGCGAGCACAAGCAGGGGGAGCAACAGGCAGAGGGAGGAGGGAGAAGCAGGTTTCTTGCTGAGCAGGGAGCCCAATGCAGGACGCAATCCCAGGACCCTGGGATCATGACCCGAGCCGAAGGCAGACACCCAACTGACTGAGCCACCCAAGCGCCCCCCAAAATCTCCACTTTCTTAAACCCTCCTACAAATCACTGAGCACAAGCCCAGAGCCTGGAAGACA